ATCATTAATTGAGCCTGAATATCCAGAGAGCAGAAAGTTCTATTGGGACCAGCCCTACTAGTTATTATAACAACTATGAACAATGATTAACAACTAATGAGCCTTCCAGCATCAAGCCCTCCTTGTATCTGGACCTCCGTCTTGACAATCCGACAGCCTTGCTATCCGACATAGAAGAACGTTTTACATTCAGATTATCGAGTCATGACTGTCGATGCCAGGATTCAGGGTTTTCCAGCAGAACAATGATCAATGTTCTTCTCCTGTCAGTGGTGCTGGTGGTGCCGCTGATCGATGCTTATTGTATCTCGGTAGCTTTGTAGCTGTGGCGGCTGCATTAAAGTCTTCTTGGCTATAAGCTCGAGCAGTGACTGACGATCACTTATGCAATGCTGACAAAACTCTCATCTCAACACAAACCATCATTTCCACTGACCACAGTATCCTCCCGAACTTTAGGGAACTGAAAGGCCAATGGCAGTAGTGACTCCCACCAAACTGCCAATTCATCACCAAAACACACAACTCAGCTCATCATTCACTGACGATGACAAACCAGCAAGTCGACAACATGGTTCACACAACAACCATTGAGCAACAATCTGTGCACATTTAAAAGCTGATCGAGAACAAATACAAAGAGTCACCAAAAATATTCTACATCATCTCTGTAGAGGAAAGAAATGAAGCAGAAACCAAGAAGCAGCTGAAAAACCATCAAACTCTTCCAACAAACTCTGCTGAACCTTTTGATAGCATAAAATGATATGACATTTGTGCATAGATACAACATATTTGTGATATTTTAGCATCACAAATACACATTTTATCCAAGATTTTTTCTGTGAATGAATTATGATGACAATAACTGAGGATCTGTTGGACATAAAAGCCTGAATTTTTCCCTTTTATTTCTAATTGTGCCATTTATTCAGAATCTCAATCAGAATTGAACAAGTAGAGCAAATAATCTCTCGCCAGCTAGTGATATTTTCTGCATCAATGATGAGAAATAACCGGGAACATTTCAGGATTTTATCTTTAATAGTTTCTCAGATATTGATGTTCAAACATAGCCTCAAATTTCAGTGTGCGAAAAACCTGCTGAAAGAGGATTTCTGAAAGTACCTGATATGTCGATCTACAATGTGAAAGAGATTAAATATACGTATGTATGACGATGACATTTCAAGAAAACCTGGAAGTTTCGAGCAGAAAGCCACGAAAAATTTGAGCAGAATGAACCCTTTATATTACTGGTTATTATAAATAACACACCCTACAGCTGGTGTATGAGGAAGACGTAGTTTTTTAAGTTTCCCTGGATTTGTAAGTAAAATATAATATTTAAAACGTAATAACAGCACAACTTCAGGAATGACATTCATTTACTTCTACAGGTAGAACTCAACATCACCAGTTTAAGTAAAGTCATGAGCAGGAAGCAAACAGAAACTCATGACGGGGGAATAAAAGTACATTTAAATGCATATATTTTCATTCAAATGAGGGAAGATTGTACATTAGCTCATCAGACCTGGTGGTAAAAGTCACTGACAGCAGAGTCAGCAGGAGCTTATTGCTAGAGGACATTATACTGACTGTACAGGTGATTATTTGGCTGTACAGTAAATGATTTGGAAACCCCAAATCATTTACTGTGCAGCCAAATAATCACCTGTACAGTTTGTTTTGGTTATTTTTGTTCGTAAAGATTAATGTAAACAAGTGTTTGGGTTAACTAGGATCAGTGGAATACAGGCTGGGGATTAATAAGCTTATTGTTCTCTTCTTTTAATTTGTTTGAAATAAAGAATGACTGACTGAACTAGACGGCTGCTCAGTTTGGAGCCACATTTTCGGGATGTTTTCGTCGCTATCTGTGTCCACACTGGAACGGGTCAGTGAACTGAGAGGAATCTCTGCTTCAGAGCCACAAACAGGACGGGCAGCGGAGAACAAACCCACCGATTAATCCTCCTCCTGGCATCGGATCAGCTCTGAAATGACACATCTAGTTTAAAGTGACTGTGTGTCCCACCAGAGACTCTCCTCTGATCACTTTTACGTCTCAGAAATGAGCATGCGAGTCTTTCTAGTCCAGGTGTTCCTGTGGGTGAGTCTCAGGATGCAGCTCCTCTGGTTGTTCTCCACCCGTCTACCCGACCAGCTCACTCCTCTGCAGCCACGACAGGACGCATTCATCCTCGTGTGTGGCTGAGAAGGAAACTAATTCACGAAAGCTGCAGAACAACAAAAAAAAACATGCTACATAATTCATGTTGCGCAAGAAGATTCACAAGAAGAGGCCTTCTGCTGCTAAGAGAAGAAACCAGATGCTTGGCTCATAATGATCCAGAGCAGTCGCTTTAGATTAAAAACTCACTCGTGGCTGCTTTATTAAAACCTCTCTCGTCTGAGCTGAGCAGAGCGGACAGGGCAGGAAGTGAACCCATGAATGCTGCATGAGGGCTCGGTGGCACAATAAGGCGCTGCCGTGGTCTCCACAGCAGCTGTTCGTGGGCTCCGGTAGGACAGCGCCAGCAGCAGGATGTGAGGGGACGATATCGACATGTTTAAAGAAACAAAACCACCTGGAACGGGTCAGCGCAGGAGTTAGGTTTTCTGAAATGTCAGCGAGACGTCTGTGACTCTGGCTTGACCTTTGGGAAGCTCAGATCTATACTTTACAGTATTTTTTATTGTATTTGTCAAACGGTGAAGCAGTAAAAGTCTCAGCAGGGGACGAGAGTTCAACTTTGCAGCAGCAATAAACTCGTGAATGTCGGTTTCCTGCTTTCTATGTGAAAAAGCATCAGATTAAAATGAACTCAACCTCGATCCAAAAAGCTTTAATCAGATGAAATAACAGTAAAAACAACTGTTAGCTGCAGCTTGTTGACTTACTGACTTACAGGACTTGCTTTTTTTATTCTTTTGTCCTCAAAACACCAACTCAAACGCATCGTACATGGAAACCTACTGTTCTCGCTGACATTTCTGTTGTTTCTGCTGCATTTAGAGCTCAAACAACGGCAGCTAAACAACATAAAGGCTGATTATTATTTAACATAAATGAACCACCTTTACAGAAATCCTTTGATTCTTGTTGACCAAATGGGAACAATTAGTTAATTAGTCATTTAGTAAATTAATAAGAAGCTACATCAGATAACTGAGCCTCATTTAGTGATTATCAATGAATCTTCTGATCACTTATTCACTGTTATTTTCCTGATTAATCGTTAGAGTTTGGTCTGTAAAATGACACTTGATGACCTCTCAGGACTCCAGATGGTTTCCAACACGTTCACTTTACTACTTTTAAAACCAGGAAATCAGCAAATATACTCATTTTTGGGCATTTCTTTCATAATAAATGACCAGAATAGTTGCTGCTCCATCTCTAAACACAGCATCCCCGCTGCCTGCAGCCTCTGAGGAGGCACCATGTGGACCAACAGTCTCCATTCCAACATCTCCAACTTGCTTTTTGTTCCCTCAGTCACCTGTTCTGCGGTTCTGAGTGAGCCCAGTGGTTCCTGATCAGGCCTGCAGGCTCCTGAGACTTCAACCCCTCACCACCTCCTCCTCCCCCCTCGCAGTGACGTGGTGGTAAAAGTGCAACGTGGACGGGGCAAATAACAACACGCAGCCCGAGCGGACACCTGAACCGAAAGTGAATCCCCCCCCCTCCTCCTCCCGTCCATCCAGCTCCCTCCGCGCTCCTACCTGTTCTGCCAGCCCTGGATCAGGTTGGTGTATTTGCTCAGGACTCCTTCCAGCTGCCTCCTGCGCTGCTGCTGCTGCTGCTGCTGCTGCTGCTGCAGATTCATGCTGTTCCCCAGCGCGCTGCCCCGGCCGCCTCCAGCTCCTCCGGCCGAGCCGCCCAGAGAGCCAGAGCCGGGGCTGTGGGACCCGCTCCGGCCGCCGGGCTTCCTCGACGACGAGCCGCCGCGCAGCTCCGAGGAGGGAGAGTTGGTTTTGTTGGTCCCGGGATGCGGACTGCAGAGCGTCTTGTCCATCCTGGCGACGGGACGGCGGAGAGCAGGAGGAGGAGGAGGAGCAGGAAGAGGGGAGGAGGGGACGGGGATGGACCAGGAGAGGCGGCAGGGAAGCCTTCAGCAGAGCATAAGTGGAGAACAACGGCGCGGTGTGAGCGAGCAGGACTAGAGCAGAGGCAGCGGGGACGCACTGACTGCGCTGCGCCGGCGTCCCTCGGTGCGTAACGACGCGCACATATTCCTCGGTGGCTGCTGCTCGCTCCTCTGCAGTGCGCGGCTCTGTGAGGCAATGTGGGTCTCCTCCAGCGTTTTCCTGGTAGGAAGGACACTCCCACTCCGCACTGTGGACCCGCCCCCGGATATTACAATGCAATCCTATCATACACATCATCCTACCAAAAACTAGCAACCAAAAAAATAAAAGGAGAGAGAAAGGAGGCAGGAAAAGCCTCAGATGAGTCATGTCTCAGGCTGACACACACACACACACACACCTACACACACACACACACATACACACATACACAGAGGATGTTTTAGAGGCAAGAACCGCATCAGAGCATAACACGTATGGCGAGATTACAGGGATGCTGCATGGAGATAAACACTGATCCTGTTAGAGGACAAATAAAACAGAATCTGGAAATTCATTTTAGGCAAAAATGTGAAGCAGAACAGTGAACAATGACTCATATGTCACTCTGCTGCATTCTGGATGTTTTGTGCATTTAAAAGATTTTGTGCAATATTATTATTTTCTACATATACAAGGGTTTGTGCAATTTGATGTGTTTTCCATTATTTATTCATTATTTTACACTTTCAGAAGAAGCTGTGCGGTATCTTAATTTGTACATATACAGGGATCTGTACGTGTGTTTTTATTGTTTATTTGTTTATTATTTCTACCGACGTCTCCACATTATGGAGCAGTGAGAGCGCCAAATTACACAAAATAAATCACTAAAAGAAGAATGAAATAAAAAGAAGAATGAATAAAATAAATAATGTGGCAATATATGAAGCAATATTAATCAAAAATGAATGCATAAAAGAAAGGGCTAATAAAAGTAGAAATATAAAGACAAATGAATAAAATAATAATAATTTATTATTTTTTAAATTTTTTCTTTTTTCTTTTTATTATTTTTATTTATTTTTATTTTTTCATTTATTTATTTATTTAGTTAGTTATTATAATGTCGCTTTAAAAGCAAAGGAAATATGCACAGAAAAACGACTTTCCTACTGCACACAATTTTTCTGCACATTTCTGAGCAGAAAAAGAAAAACCTAGTGGGGGTCACTATCTACCTTTATGTAGGTAGATAAAAGGGGTCGTCCCCTCCCCCTGTCATCACTTCATCTACTAAGCGTAGAGTCATAGGATGCAGTTTCAGTCATTGCACCAACTCATTCTTTCACCTGATGCCTTCCAATGTCTTAAAATTACTCAGCAAGCTGTTGTTGTACCCACTGAAATTAGTGTTAGTGTCTGTAAAACATAACGTCTAGTCTGATGGCCAAAAAGCTCAACTTATGTCTAATCAGAGGAAAGAACCTTCTTCTGATTGAAACCTCCTACACCATGATGCTGCCACCGCCATGCTTCACGTCATGATGCTTCCACTGCCGTGCTTCACGTCATGATGCTTCCACTGCCGTGCTTCACGTCATGATGCTTCCACTGCCGTGCTTCACAGTGAGGACTGTGTTGACAGTTGCCCTCTCAGTCTCCTACATGCCTTCAGGCCAGCTCTAGATTCAACATAAGCTTTCTTCAACAGTTGCTTTCTCTTGCCTACGTTCCCATAAGAACAGGCAACAGTCATTGTTTTGCTCAGTCTCTCCAGTCTTGCTGAAGCTTGGACCCTCTTCAGATGAGTTCTAGGAGTCTCCGTGCCTCTTTCTCACACAGTCACTCAGTTTTTGAAGCAGACCTGCTCTGGTCTGATTTAGACTCTTTCCATTTCCTATTAGTGGATTTAACTGTACTTTGAGGCTTATTCGGTGACTTGGGAAATGTCTTGACTTATCCCCTACATGATGCTTTCCAGTAACCCTCTCCCTGAGACACTTGGAGCCTTCTTTGACCTTCGTTGTGCAGTCATGGCCAGGAGGGACTTTTTAAAAAAAATTCTTGTCAAAAATGTGAAATTGTGTCGACCAAGATTCAGTTCCCAAAAAAAAAGTAAGACTTCCGAGGGTGGTGGATACTACGAGGCGCTGGATCAATGAAAACCAGGCAGCAGGCAGCAAACAGCAGGACTTAGCAGTAAAGAGAAGCATGTGACGGGATAAAGCCTGGGGGTGGACGGCAGTTATGAGCAGCTCAACCAAAGAGGGATTTTTTCAGCTCAGATTGTTGCATTTGGAGGATTTTTTTTTAGGTCTGAAGAGGCGACAGCGTCTAGTTTCACAATGAGAAAGGAAACATAAAAGTCGTAATACTGTGAGCTGATTTAGTGCATAAAAATAAAACACATGAATGAAACAAAACCCGATAAAGCATCCCACGGATTGTACAAATAAAAACCTGTAAATAACGAGGAGCCTAAAATACACACAAATCATAACCCAACACTGTAAACTGCCCAACAAGGAGCAAACATGCATCACAAGGAACATTAATTAAAGATGTGTTTCACACTGGGAGCTTGAATTATCAGCAATACATCAGCAGTTTGATTCTCCATTATCTCATCCAGAAACTCCATAAAGTTGCTCTTTGACTGCAAGTGAAAGCTTAATTTTTCACGTTTAATCACAGGAAAGTCCCTCAGAGGGAAACACAAACCGGCCTTTCTGTTGAACACTGAGCTTCTGGCTGCGTCTGACATCTGAAAGTTAAAACACAAACCCTCAGTGAAGCTATCTGCTAGACGTCAGCGTGGAGGAAACACGTTCTGCTCTAGATGTCAAAGCTACGAGAGCTTTTTTAATTTAAAGATATCCAGGGTGGCTCAGTGGTTAGCACCGTCGCCGGTTGGCGTCCCAGTGAGGACACCCGGGATCTTCCTACATGGAGTCTCCATGTTCTCCCCGTGCAGCGTGGGTTCTCTCCGGGTTCTCCGGCTTCCTCCCACAGTCCACAAACATGCTGAGGTTAATTGGTGATTCTAAATTGTCCGTAGATGTGAATGTGAATGTGCTTGGTTGTCTGTCTCTAAGTGTAGCCCTGTGATAGACTGGTGACCTGTCCAGGTGAACCTGCCTTCACCCTGAGACAGCTGCGACCCCAGTGAGGATGAAGGTGTAGAGATGACGGATGGACGTCTTGCAGTGCTGAGGCTCCTCACACCACCTCCACAGGCCTCTAAAGCTCCAGGTAGAGCTACTTTCTAAACACTTGATGAGCCCATTTGAAATATTAATTGAGCATTTACACATAACGGCCTCCTGTGGAATTTCTAAAGCCGCTAATGCCTCAGAGCAGTTTTTTTTTATTTTTTTTAAATGAGTGGATCCCTGTGTTGTTTGTTCTTGTGCACATGCATGATTCCACATCAAACATTTTAACTTTATTTGGCAGCTATGATCACGACATTAACTCTGTGTTATGTAACGTAGAGGCCCAATCTTTTAGAGAGAATCTACGTCTGTTTCTATCCGCTTTATTATCTAAGCTAACGTTGTGCCTGTATGGCGCGTTTTCCTGAATAAACCTGACACACTGAAGGCCTGAGGCAGGGAGGAGAATAATTTGGCTTCACTGTGTCTGAGCAAAATAGAATTAAGGCGCCTCCACTGTGTGCTCTGTGCTTTGGGCTTAATGGGAATTTGCAGGCAGTCAGGTCCAAACTGTTTTTGTGCCGAAGCCCCAGAACGGGCTGAGCAGGCCACGGATGCACTGTGAAGAGGTATTAGTTTAAGTAGGTCGTGTAAAAGGGAATAAATGTGCAATTTGGTTAAGTGTACTGACAAACTTATATTAACATACCAAACACATGACAAAAGCTTCTCTCGCTGTCATGTGTGGCTTCAGACTTTGTCAGTTTGGAGGCTGGAATTCAAGAAGTAGAAAATAGGAACCGACGTAGAATCGAGTCAACAGCAGCTGCACAAATGGACTTGATGCTAAATGCTAACATCAGTGTGTTAAAATGCTCACAAGAATAGAATAGAATAGAATAGAATAGAATAGAATAGAATAGAATAGAATAGAATAGAATAGAATAGCCACTTTTTTGGTTAAATGATTCAGAAAATACTGGCAGCAAGAGTGCTGGAACCCACGACAACGGGGACGAGAAGGACGCGCTAACGAAGCCCAGACGGACGAGCATCACGGGCTGTCAGGAAGAAGGCCGAGGCTACGCCGAGAGATCGAAGGCAAAACGAATCTCCACAAGACTCTGAGCGGAGCAGGGATAGATTCCTACTTCTTGTCAGCTGAGGCAGCCACAAAGCAAAGATCAATACGGGACAGAGAGGAGAAGAAAAAATCCTCGGGCAGCAGCAAGTCAATGATTTGTTAAAAGCTTGTGCTGAGAGTCAAGCTCGGGTCAGCTGCATGTCATTAGCCGTCACGGCGGCTGGACAAGGACGCCGCTGTTGTTCACGTTCAGTTTGGACGTTACAGGAAGACGAGTTTATGGCATGCATTTTTCACATTATCCACAACTTCATGACAATTAGTTCACAATACGGTAGCTGTCTTAGTTTTGCTCAGAAATCTGGGATAAATACTTAAACGTTACAGCTTTCAAGGATAACTTAAAAGTAATTTCCTCAGATATCACAAGTTGCATATTTAGTTTGCTCATATGTTGATTTCACTTCTTCTGAAGCAACAAAATGACGAAAAAAACTTTGCTCGCTTGTCTCGAAGTGGACGTAAAGTTAAGCCACATCCCTTGAATCCAACTTCACCACACTCCTGAGCTAAAGCTAAGCTAACTCAGAGTCCAGTGTCTCTAATGAACATCCACACTTCTGTCCATATCAGGTGTGAAAGCCGAAGTGTGTCGCCGATATCTCGATATCTCTATTTCTCACAATAACCGCCATCTTTCCATAATCGCAGTGATTCGAGGTGACAGCGTTCGTTTAGCGTAGCGTCCATTAGCCTGTATATTAACAAACAACTGGACTAAACTCTGATTTTTTCCACCTCTTTGCTCCGGTTTA